TAAATATTTTTTAATTTCTCAGTTTTAATTTCTAATACTGTAAATATCAATAGATATAACCCACATAAACAAAAGTTCTTTGGGCTCTTCAATAATTTTAAGAGTATAAAGAGGTCCTTAGACTGAAAAGTCTAAGAACCACTGATATAGTCTCTGAACGAGACAGGGGCCCCTTGAGAGTATCCCCTGCAAATACGGTACTAGCTTCTCCTTAATACAACTAGCCGAGTCCCTTCCAAACAACCCGTTCCACTGCTGGGGCAGCTCTGACTAACTGAGGGCTCCTATACCCCACTGGTGCCAGTTGTGTTCTCTGGAGCCAAGTCTACACCACTCAATCCTGCGAAGGGCCAGAAAGCATAACCCACGTGCTACACACAAACACAACAGAGTCCCTGTTCTCAGGGGGCTTACAGACTAAGCTCAAGATTGCTAAAAGGGTTCATCTCACATGGAAGCAGGCTATTCCTATCTGCGCATGTGAAGAGATCTCTTACATTCTGCCAACCTCCAAGATTAAACATCTCAAAATCTTTTAATTTCCTCCAAACTCTTCACCTTTCTAGCCCTTTCTTCTGGACAGAGTACTGTTTATGAATGTCCCCCTTCAATAAGACACCTGGGAAGGGACAGGACATCAAGGTGTGGCCTAAACCACACAGAGGCAAGGAGACTCTCTCCTCCTTGATCTGGACACCAAGACTCTATGATCATAAGAACAGTGAAATCCCAGAGCCCCAAGGGGCCTTACACAGCTGGTCTAACAAGAGACCACAGCCAAGAGAAAAACCTTGACCAAAGATCCCACAAGATGGAGGCAGAAGCAGGGAGAGAATCCACTTCTTTCTGTCCTAATTTTGAATGAATTGAGAGAACAGTGCCAGCATCTACACCCACGTGTAAACATATGGCAGGTAAATGAGAGCGTAGGTGGCTGGCCGTGGACACAGACAACCTATTTTTGGTTTGCTTAGGTTCCCTGATTTTACTGATATTACACTTTAAGTTTGGTGTTAGATTTTGCTTTGTTCTTCTGCATGTTTGTTGTTTTGCAAACTCCTTTTCATTTTTCCTCTCATTTGGTTTAGTCCTCTTGCCTAATGGAACCCTACCATGATCCTTGTTTATGAGAAACTATAAAACAACAATGTTAAATTTTTAGAATGCTTTTTTTTGAAAGAGAAAAAACAAAGGCAGAACAAATAAAACTATAAAGATTGGGGTTTTTCTTTCCTTTTAACTATCATAATTTTAATTTTTAAAAAAGTTATTCTCTAAACTTGGACAGGTCCTTCACTCCTGAATTGCAAAGACAAAGCTGGGTAGATGTGTTCTCACTCAGCAAAAGAATATAAAACCGTGACATCAAATTCATAGACAAGATGGGTAAACGGGAGGGCAGGGAGATGAGGCCTGCTTAAGGTCCCACGAGTCACTGACTGTAGTATGAGCCAGGAAGAAGACAGAGGCAGGTGTCCCATCCCCCACATATACCCCCTTCTTGGGCTGTGCTGTTGGGCACCCCAAATAAATCCAGGCATGCCTGAAGCCTGGCCCAGTCCTCACCCTCCAGTCTCAGAACAGCAGAAAGAGAATCAGCCCCACCTGTGGGGAGCTGGCAGTGGGCCCAGCCATCATGCCTCGCACAATCAGGCCAGACTTTGGCCTGGTCTTCTCTCCAATCCTCTTTACATCCAAAGAAGGTTCCGACAAGTGAGGCCTTTCCGTCTTCTCCCATGCAGAAGCCACGGTGGGGCTTCCACCTGGGGCTGTCTGCGTGGGCTTAATTTTGCGTGAGGGTTTTTTGGATGATACAAAATTACCAAGTACATCCCCATCAAGATTGTCATGTCTGCAAAAAAGGAATATTTCCATTAAAACAAACTCCCCAAAAGGAATTAGTCACAACAATAAATTCCTCATTCAACACGCATTCATAGCAAGCTCATTAATACATATATGATTTCTCATCAGCCAATGCTTCATCATGAAAGGAAAAGAATACTTTGGTATCAGAGTAAGTCCAGCCTACAAAATAATACCAGTAAACAAGCAAACAAAATCAGAGGATCCAAGTCCTTAAGTCTAAAGAGCATCCAGACCAGAGCGATTAAGGAAAACTATAACCCCTCAGTAACATCATGGGATACGTTAAGTCCAGCCTTTCTGCATACCACTGAGAGAGGCGGATAAAACCCATGGCAGGCTTGGCATTCCCTGACTGTTTGGGTAAAGGTGGCGTCAGGTGTGCCAATGGCTTTTTTTCCTGGAGATGGAGGGGGATGCATGTATGTGTATGAAAGAGAAAGGAAGTAAGAGAGCAAGAAAGAGCAAAAGAAGGTGAGAAATAGTGAGAGCAAGCAGTGAGCAAGAAGTGAGAAAGAAAAAGAGAGCACGAGAGACAAAGCGAGAGACCCAGGTAAAGGGGAATCTTACCTGTGATCGCTCAAAAGCCAGCACTCCTCTGACACAGGCTCAGCTATTTTCTACCACTGGGCTCTGGCATAAATGGGAACTGACACCTACTCTATACCAAGCTGCTCACCAAGCACTAGGTCACATGTGGGAAGGAAGTCTGCATGCTGTGATTGGGGCATGTCAAGGAAGGGGCTGGAGCCAGCCTGGGGAAATCTGGAAGGGTTCTCAGTCAAGACAGCACTTGATCCTGAGAGAATCAGTAAGCAGGAGGGACCCAGGTGAGGGCCCAGGCACCAGCATACAGGCCTGCAAGGCAGGACATGCTCAGGTGAACAGCAAGGGCTGGTCACACATGGGGATCTGCAGGTTATCCTAAGGAGTTTAGATTTTATCCTGAAAGCTACAGGGAGCATCTGAAGGCCTTTCAGTAGGAGAGCGGCATGGCCAGACTTGTTTTGCGGTAAGCTTACACTATCTTAGGTTGAGGGTGGATTCGAGGAGAAGATCACCAGAGGCCTGAGGACCAGAGAAGAGCCCATGGGAGTTATCCAGGAAAACAGGACGGGGTGTGAACTGAGGCCCTTGCCATCAGGGCGGGGAAAGGGGGAAAGAGTCTAGCATCACTGGGGATGAAGAGCTCACAGGCCTCACAGACACAGAAAATGACAGGCCAGGAGGAGTCAAGGAGAACCCCCAAGTTTTCGGCTGGAGTAACTGGGTAGGACTCCGGAGCTTCCAGTGCTTCCTTGCTGCTTTTTTAATTATATCAGAATTATTTAATTTCCCAGCCAGGCAGTAAGCACCTTTGGAAGAAGAGCTTCTTCATACCACCCTCAAGACCCTTCACAGCTTAAGCCTTGAGCTAACTGTTTGTAATGGTCCCACCTTTTGGCAGCTTAACACCCTTGCCCTGAGCTTCAGCCACCCTCAGAAAAGGAAATGCTTTTTAACAGAACCCAAAGAAAATACCCATTCCTAGGAAGTTAAACACACTATTGGTGACTATATGCAGTGTATTAAAGTTGTAATTTAATGTTCTCCAGATAACAGAGGTTCAATCAAGAATGCCAATTCATTTTCTTCCTCAGATTTCAAAAGACCTTATTTTTCAGATTTTTTCCCATCTCTACAGTGTTTTGTTGCCTTTCAGATTACTATACTCCTCCTTTTAAAGAAAATCAACTAAAGCAAGCCCCTGAACCTTACAAATCATAGAATTTAAAATAAACATTTTTAATCACAAGTATTCTCAATCACAAAGTAGTCCATTCTCATGGCCCCTACAGGAAAGCATCAGTGCTCCACGACAGAGATTTTGAAAGCACAGAGTGTGGGAAGCCAAATAATGACTGCCCCAAAGTTGTCCACACCCTGATACCTGGGATCTGTGAATATGTTACCTTACATGGTAAAAGGGATTTTGTAGATGTGATTAAATAAGAATCTTGAGATGGGGAGATCATCCCGGATTCTCTGATGGGCCCAATGTAATCACAAGCGTCCTTATTATAATAGGAAGAGACTTGAGGATCAAAGTTAGTGGTAAAGTTAGGAGATGTAAGGACACAAGCAGAGCTCAAGTGACGTGCTTTAGGATGGAAGAAAGGGCTATGAGACAGGGAACGTGGGTGGTCTCTAGAAGCTAAAAAAGGAAAGGAAGTAGACTCTCCCCTCAGAACCTCCAGAAGGAAGTGGCCCTGCTGACATCTTGCCTTTAGCCCACTGAGACTGATTTTAGACGTCTGACCTCCAGAACTGTAAGAGAATAAATTCATGTTGCTTTAAGCCACTGTGATGGTTAAATTTTACATGTCAACCTGGCTAGGCTATGGTACCCAGTTGCTTAGTCAAATATCAGTCCAGATGTTGCTGTGAAGGTATTTTGTTAATGTGATTAACATTTACAATCGGTTGACTTTAACTAAAGCAGACTATCCTCAGTGATGTGGGAGGGCCTCAACTTATCAGTTAAAGACCTTAAAAGGTTCCCCAAAGAATCCTTCTTCAAAATTGTAACATTAAAATCTCATCTGAGTTCCAGCCTGCCCTACAGATTTTAGATTTGCAAACCCTCACAATCACATGAGCCAACTCCTTAAAATAAACCTCTTTATATACACATACAGGTACATATACATACAAACATAGAGAACACTGACTGATAAGCCACTAAATTTATAGTAATTTGTTATGTCAGCAATAGGAAACTAATACACAGAGTAAATGGGAAGAGATACCTGGCTTTGCTTGTTTCTGACAATGATGTTCTCCATCCTGCATCTTCATCTGAAAGGTCAAATATATTTACCAGCGTGGTCTCTGAACTTCTCAATGGTAATTTGTTATTTTTTTTTGGAACTGAGAGTGCAGGGATTGGGGTCTCTGGAGTAAAATTGTTAGCTGTATTTCCATCGTGATCCAGAAAATATCTGGTAATGAGTTCAAGGTTTGTTTTTAGAGGATTTTCTTTTGCCTATCAGTAGGAGAGAAAAACAAAATCACTAACTTATATACAGCTTGAGGAAAAAGGTAGAAAAGCTAGCTACCCCACATCTTTGGCATAAGCTTATCAACTTCTTACTCATTCACACCTGCTTTCAGCAAATGTTCACCGGCTGCCTATTATGTGTCAGGTACTATCCTGAGTAGGGACAGAGAGATCAGACAAAATCTCTACCCTAAAAGAATTAGTATCCAACGCATGAATCAGGTAATTCAAAAAACAATTATTATAAAATGCTATATGCAGCCTGAGCAACATAGCAAGACGCTGAACCCTGACTCTACAAAAAATAAAAATTAGCCGGGCATTGCAGCGCGTGCCTATAGTCCCACCTACTCGGGAGGCTGAGGCAGGAGGATAGCTTTAGCCCAGGAGTTTGAGGTTGCAGTGAGCTATGATGATGTCACTGCACTCTAGCCCAAGCAACAGAGCAAGATCCTGTCTCAATAAAATAAATAAAATAAAATATGATGTGAATAGAGGAATGCCCAAGCAAATTTCCTCCTGGTTTTTTGCTCTAGGGAATAACTTTATAAAATACATATCCTTTCATTTAAAAAAAAAATTAAGTTTGTAGGGAACACTAACTCTACACATTCATAAGTATTTGGGGCCTGAATATTTTTGTAGTTTGAGGACTCTGCATTCAACACTGGACACCAGAAACAACTGAGACAGCAGGTTAATGTGAAGAGCATAGGGAGGCAGTCAGGAGTGACTCAGCTTACAGTCCAACCTTAAAAAAAGGTAAGTGGAATTCTTTAGTAGCGCGTTTTAGAAATAAATGACATCAGTATTTTCCAGCCTTGCCTGCACCAAATATTTCCTTTGGAATATTTTTTTTTAAAATATGGATTCCCATGCTCCATGAGACTTACTAAGCCAAAATAGCAAAAATCAGAGCCCTGATTTCTTTTAAAATGAACCACAGGCAGGCCTCAGGAACCACGCCACGTGTTAGTCCCCAGCCCACTCACCCAGAAACACCTAGGTTCTGCTGGGCTGTGGCTAGATAGAAGTGGGGCATTCAATGCTTTTGCAGTCAGAGTAGCAAAGCATCTGACAAGGAGCCTGGCAGAGGGTGCCCTCAGGACATGCCAGCTCCTCTCATCTACAACAGAACTCTAGGACTAAGACCCACAGCCAATGGGCTATGACCAAATTCAACAGATTGATCAGACAGTCAAAATCAGGGACAGTTTTATTATTTTTTTAGAATAAGACAAAAACTATTTTGTCTATGACTAAGTGAAATTTACAATGAAGAGAGTTGGGAGGAAAATATTACATAATTAATATGATTTATTTCAGCCTTCTTGCTTTTTCTCTCAATAAGAGAAATTCAGGGCCCGGGGTTGCCTGATTCATACTTTGTGCTTTTCACATCACTTGGCTCACAATAGACACAGTCTTTATATGAATCCAGATATCATTTTTCAAAACTTCAATTCTACATAGGCATTTTTATCTATTATATACCTAAGAGGGGAAAACAAGTTACTAGAAATATTAACATTAAATTGCAGGGCGTTCCTAGAATCACGCTAGCCTTGTACTGAGTGAATGATAAAATTACTATGCAATCATAGACTAATAAGTACATTTTTCTATAAAATATAGGCTCCAATTCATTGTATAACAGCTAATAACTACTGTATAAATCAAATTATATTTTCATATTAAAATGAAAATATCTTAAGTATCTTAAGATAACAGTTACCTTAGAGAGACTATATTATAGTGAGGGAATAAAAATAACTTGAATGGCAAAGATACCTCTGGGAAATTGGGTACGGTACAATTTCCATAAAAATCCCAATAAAACCAGAAAAGTTAATTGAATTTTCTGGGTAGCTGTCTTATTTTCTGCACAAAATCTTCCTAAAATGTACAGTACACTCTTCTGCCTTAAAATACAGCAAATGGAGGATCACAGAATATCTGCTGCCTCGGTCAAGAGTCTTCTTCCTACAGGACTTCAGCTGAATGCACACAGGAGAGGGAGGTGCCTGACTGTCACCCCAGGACCCAGAGGACAAAGGTCATCGATTTGATGTCTTTGCTGAGCCTCTGACTGGATTTAACCTGGCTGCCACTGCCTGCTTCTCCTCAGAAGGGAGCACAAGAATTTCTGACAACCTGAGTGCTCCTGCAGGTGCCAAGTAGTTTAAGTTCATAGGTTTGCCAGAAATTCCATCCTTTACTTCATTGAGGGAAGCCTAGCCTGAGTTCCTCCCTGGCCTATGACACATATTTGCATGGTTTTCCATGAGGTTCCTCCCGGTGTCTCAAAAATAGCCTTGGTCCCACCCCCATACCAACTCAATCTTCAAAGATCTCATTTTGAAAATGGGTTACACCTAAAATATGCTTGACCACTGTTCCTGCAATAGGATTGGGAATCGAAACACCTGGTTCTAGCCTCATCCCCACCCTGTAACTGACTGTGAGACCTTGGATACCCAATTTTCTCTGACTCACAGCTTCCCGCTACTGGGTGCGCGGGGGTCGGGGAGGAGGGGATGGATAGATCAGTAGTATCAAAGCTGCTTAACTGGGCACTGAGGCAGGATCGCCTCTTCCCCACTTCAAACAGGGCAACAGGGCAACTTCCCTTCTCTGCTTTGCATATTTTTGAACTTCTACATGAGATATCATTTTATTAACTTTTTAAAATTGTGATAAGTGCTGAACTACATGATCAATCATCATTTTCTTTCTGACTCTGACACTGTGCCCAAGCACAAAGCAACATTTGCTGGAGAACCCATTCTTTAGTCAAATCAGAGGATTCTATTTTCATAAAGGAAAGAGCAATTAAGTCAGAATTGTAGCTTCATTCATTCATTTATTCATTCATTCTGTCATACATTGATTGATTCCACAAATACATATTGACTATTCACTGTATCATCAGAAAACACATTAGGTATGGGGATACAATAATGAACAAAAAAGACTCCATTCCTGGCCTTCTGCACATCCGAAGTAGTGGGGGAGGCAGATACTATAATAATTAAACAATCACACAAATATCCTATTGCCAATGTGATAAAGACAAAAAAAGGAAGACTGTAGTGTGTCACAAAAGCCTGTAAGAGCAGGTAAGGAGCGATCGGGTCTGGGGGATCAGGGAAGCCCCCTTTCCCACTTGAGGAAGTGCTGTTCCATTGTTTTCTCAACTTCAACACACCTGGGTTAGCTGAACCCAATTCCCACTTCGGCCTGAATTATATGTCACAGTAGACTTGAGACTAAGGTATTACTCAGAACGGAAGAAGGAAAATCTTACGCAGGCAGGGAATGGAAAATTTTACTATAACTGAATACTATATTCTTAAGCACAGTCTTACTAAAAATAGCCTTGTGTGGAGAGGAGGGAGCACAGGGAAGAACCATCAGAGGCTGAGCACAGCCACACGCTCTGGTTCAAAACAAGCCTAACGACCACACACATGCAATATGCCAATGGGTAGCATCAACTGACTGAGGCTAAAAACCAACTCACACTTGGGCTCTGTCAGCACTTGGCTGGGTCTGCTTTTCTCTGACCACAGGCGCTCCCCAAGCCTCTTGTCGCCATTGGTAGAGTCCATGATTTCTTTGGCATTGCCAAACTCAGTTCCAGGACTCCACAACCATACCACAAAAAGCATGTACCTTGTTCTCCTTGTACAGAAACCCAAGATGCAAAACCTTGCGAAGATCATTTCTGCTGTTTATGCTGAGATCAGAGCGTGGGCGTTCCTGGTCCATGGTCACACATGTCTTCTTTAAGCCCTGAGGGGAGAAATCTGACTCATTGTTTACCAGCTTAAATCAAAACCTTCTGTTCTCTGACGCAGAGTACAAACAAAAGTTACTGATGTTCATTATGATAATTCTTATCCTGTCTTCCTCACAAGGATATTTCAAGGATTAAAATCTCACTTAAGAATTCATTTTTGTATAATCTTTACATTTGACATCACTTCACAACTATTATTCTGATTCTAACAATAACCCCATAAGCTAAGCTACAGTTGTCAGCCCATTTCATAGATAAGGAGTGAATTCAGGTAACTGACTCACCCAAGGCCAAAACAGAGCCATGGGTTTGTCCACAGAATAGGAAGCTTTAAAAATAAAGAAAAGAAGGCCGGGCGCGGTGGCTCACGCCTGTTATCCTAGCACTCTGGGAGGCTGAGGTGGGCGGATTGTTTGAGCTCAGGAGTTCGAGACCAGCCTGAGCAAGACCCCGTCTCTACTAAAATTAGAAAGAAATTAATTGGACAACTAAAAATATATAGAAAAAATTAGCCGGGCATGGTGGTGCATGCCTATAGTCCCAGCTACTTGGGAGGCTGAGGCAGGAGGATCCCTTGAGCCCAGGAGTTTGAGGTTGCTGTGAGCTAGGATGACCCCACGGCACTCTAGCCCGGGCAACACAGTGAGACTCTGTCTCAAAAATAAATAAATAAATAAAATAAAATAAAGAAAAGAAAAAATGTAAACTAAAGGCCAATATTCATTCCTCTCATTTCTCAGATGGGGAAACCAGGAGAGAGGGTTGACTTGCCCAAGGTAACACAGTGGAATCTCAGTGGGCAGGGGGTTCTGACCATCCCAGCCTGTGAGTACATGACTCTAGGACCCAGGCCCGCAGGAAGCTCTTGGTAAATGTTTGCTGAGTTGCTGGCAAAGCCACTTTCCATCATCCTACCCTGAACTGCCAAAAGACTGAGGTTCAAGGCCCAGCTGAGACATGCTCTGGCAATGGAACATGGGGTGGGGCAGGGGAGGCTCCTATTCCCAAGAGCCTGGCTTCTTTCTTTGAAAAACAACCACAGAAGTTACTGCCTGCCCACCTCGCCAGGCCACTCCGATCATCAAATGGCTGGAGGATGAGCTGATGCCTCACAAACAGCTCAGCTTGGTGTGGGGAGTCCCTTGCTCTTGATGGATTCCAGACCCCCAGTCCTTGACAGGCCTCAACTTCTCCCCTAACCCTGTGTTCAGAATTTTATGGAGGCTCCAACTGCTGGGGAAACAAGACAAACCCACTGCCTATGGGTTTGAATGTAGGTAAGAAAGTCAATTTAGGAAACAAAAAGTATAAACACAGCCTTGAACCAAAGAGAGGATAAAGGAGGTCTTAGGTAAGAGGAACAGAAAGAAATGTGCATATGTGTTGGAGAAAAGGTAGACTAGGTACATTAGGGAGCATAGACTGGAAGGAGAAGAGGGGCTCAGAACCACCTGCATTTCATCTGGGCTTAACCAAGCTTTCCAACAATCAAAGTGATGTGGAACACTATAACGAGGGTCCCTCTCTAATGGATAACTCTTTATGTCTGTCAATAGTTCAAATCAGCAAGCCTTGGTGCATTTAACAATGTCCCCCCAAGAGTGTAATGCACACCAGCATTTAAAAACCACTTGGGTAAAGAACAAGGATGCCCTCGAGAGTCAGCCAGACCTCAGCCCCATGCAGCCCACTCAGACTTCATTCACTCAACAGGCATTGGTCATGCACCTCCTATGTGCCAGGCTCTGTTCTAGATGCAGGAGACAGAGAAGGAATAAGAGCTGATATTTTGTTAGGGAAGCAGATCATAAATGAATCCGTAAGCATACAGTATGGCAGCTGCTAATATGCACTACTATGGAGACAAAATGGGGAGAGCGACGACAAAGAGGAAGGGCACTATTTTGGATAGTCAGCTATTTGTTGAGCATCGTCCATGTGTTTGTTCCTGTCTTCTGGTTTCCCCATCTGTGAAATGAAGGGACGGAACCACTAGTCCATTAGTCCCTTGCTAGAGGCAGAGGAATGAAGAGATCAAAGTCCCAGTCACTGTGAAGCTTACATTCTATAGAGGAAAGGACAACAAGTATAACATGCTATCAGGAAAAAAATATACATAGTAGGGTAAGGAGACAGAGAGGGCCAGGAGGGGTGCAGGGAAGGGCTGCTACTTTATAAAAGGTGATCAGAAAAGGCTTCATTGGAGCAGAGACAGGAGGGAATCGAAGGAATAGGCCCTGCAGACACTTTGGGGAAAACTATTCTAGGCAAGGAACAGCAACTTCAAAAGCCCTGTGGCAGTTGCAAGATGACAGTGCATCTAGAGCCACATGGCAGGGAAAAGTAGCAGAAGAAGAGGTCAGAGAAGTCACACAGAGCCTGATAAGGAAAATGAAATGAGGGAGGGAGGCTACTGGAGGATTTGAAAAGAGGAACATCTTGGACTGCATATTTTTACAGGATCACCTGGAAATCATTTAGGAAACTATTGAATAATTCACAATTCACATGAAAACAGGGTTGGCTTGGACCAGGACTGCAACAAAAGTGGTAAGAAGTGGCTACATTCTCTATGTGTTCTGATGGTAAAATCAACAGATTTGCTGATGGACTGGATATGGGGTACACTAAAAGGAAAAAAGCCAAGAATGAATCCAAAGTTTTTGGCCCGAGCAATTAGAATGGACATGCCACTTACTGAGGTAGGGAAAGTTGTAGGAGGAAGAGGAAATCAGAAATTGAGTTTCAGACACTGTGATAAATACATATATTTGGTCTTTGCCTCAGGTTTCTGACAAAGCGATCCTTAAAACCCTTGGAATCTCCAGAGTGACAAGAATGGCTTTTGTATGCCAATGAGATGAGTAGTGGCTGGGGACCCCTAGTCACCAGAAAGACCAAGCCTTGATTAGAGGATTGGAACTTTCAGCCCTATCTCTCAACCTCTATGGAAGGAAGAGGAGCTAAGACTGAGTCAGTCATCAATGGCCAACGATTTAATCAAGCATGCCTATGTAATAGGATCTTCATAAAAACTCCTGAACAAGGGGTTTGAGGAACTCCCAGGATGCTGAATGCATCAAGGTGTTGGGAGGTGGCATGCTGGAGACAGCATGGAAGCTCTGAGCACCTCCACCCATACCTTACCCTATGCATTGCTTCCATCTGGCTCGTCCTACGTTATGTCCTTTATAATAAACTGGTAAACGTAAGCATAGTGTTTCCCCGAGTTTTGTAAGCCATTCAAGCAAATTATCAAAACCGAGGAGGTGGTCATTGGAACCCTCAATTTATACCCAGTTGGTCAGAAGTACAAGTGGCAACCTGGGACTTGAGACTGGCATTTGAAGTGGGGGCAGTCAAGGAACTGAGCCCTTAACCTGTGGAGTCTTCACTAACTCTAAGTAGTTAGTGTCAGAATTGAACTGAATTATAGCACAATCAGTTGGTGTCTGGAAAGTTGGAGAATTTGGTTGGTGTGGGGAAAAAAACCCAACACATTTGGTGTCTGAAGTGTTGTAAGTAGAAACACTATCGGAGACATGTTGAGATGCTTATTAGCCATCCCAGTGGAAATTTAGAATAGGCAGTTGAGAAAAATTCAAGAGTTCAGGGAGAGGTCTCAGCTAGAGATAGACATTTGGGAATTGTCAGCATATAGATGGTTTCGGAATCCCTAAGACTGGCTGAGATGCCTCCAGAGTGAATGGAGAGGAGAAGAGAAGAGGGCCATAGACTGTGTCCTTGAGCCCACTAGCCCACAGGACAGGGAAATGAGGGGAGACCAGCAAAGACCCTGAGAGGGGACAACCAGACAGGTAGTAGGAAAGTCGGGAGGAGGTGGTCTCCTCAGAGCCAAGGTGAAGGACGCAATCAACAAACACAGTCATTCAATCAAGAAGGGTTGAAAATCCTTCTTGAAGGACTGAGGGTTGAAAATCAGGGTTGAAAATTGACCTCTGAAAATCAGAGACAAGAGCTGTCGAGGATTGGTGGGGATAAAAGCCTGATTAGAATGGTTTGAGAAAGTGGGGAGAATTGGAGTATACACAGCTTTTTGGGGGGGGTCTCTATAAAAGGAAAAAAAATAGACCAGTAGCTGGAGGGGCTTAGGGGTCAAGATGGGATTCTATAGGAGCACATATACATACTGACAAGAATAACGCAGCGAATGGTTCAGGCCCAGGAAGGTAGGTACGAGTGGTGGTGGGAGCCTCTCGGACTCTCTCATGACTTCTTCTATAATATTTTCTCAGTGAAATTAGCTTGGGAAGGAGCTTTGGGGTTTGAGGAGTATGAAATGGTCATCCAGGATTTGAGAGGGTGAACAGGCTGGAGAGAGGTATAACCCGGTGAGCAGTCACCCCTAAGTCATCACAGGGTAAATGGCCATGGATTTAGAGTGACTCCACCAACATGGTGGTATGTGTTTCTCCAATCTCGTTCAGCTCTGCAGGTGCAGGCATGGAACAGGCTGAGCTGAATTTTACCCAAGTTAGGGGAGTATGACTGAAAAGAGAGGAAGGCAAGAGAGTCAAGCATGTTATGGGGGGTACGATTATAAGGATGCATAGGAAGAAATGGGAAGGGGTTACAGTAGGCCCGAGGGACTGTGAAAAGTTGGCAGGAACAAAGGAATGGTGCAGTGAGGCTGAAGAAGAGGATGAGCTGGAAATGAGGATGGGTGGGAAGCTTGGAACTGAGATTATGGAAAGGGCACAGTATGGCAACAAGCCTAGCTCATGACCATGGGGAAGAGTGGTGGAGGGAGGATGGCATGGTCACTGCAGGAAAGGGGCCATGGACTACAGAGGTTTGGGCACCATAGGAGTCGTCTTGGTGGACTCAAGGAGATGATTCTAACTCTCCCTGAGGGCAGACCATGCTTGGTGAATTCAAGCAGGCCAATGTGGCCGGAGGGAAGCAGGTAGAGGCAGTCAGGGAAGATGAGGTCCAAGGGGAAGCTGGGAGCCAGTCAGAGAGAGCCTTGTAGTCTAATTATGGGAAGCCAGTCGAGGGTTTTGAGCAGGGGAGTGACATGCTCACCCTGGGCAAGTTTCTTGGTCTCACGATAGTCTTACGTGACAGGGAATACTTAGACCTATCTTTTGAGACTGTTATGAGGATCTGAAACAATGAAAAGGCACCTAGAAAGTTCCTAGCACCATGGTGAGAACTCTCTTGCTTATGAATGCTGGGTACCTGCCTGTGCAAAGCTCTGTGGGGAGCACATGGCCTCTGCCCTGGAACAGATGGTGAGGAGAAAAGCAGTAACCCTGGACTACAGTCCCAGCTCTTCATGACTTTCTCAGTAACTGTGGGCAACTCCCCTTTCTACTCTCAGGGATTTAGTATGCCCAGATAAAACATGGGAGGGAGAGGTGGCCAGGGCAACTAGGCCATCTCCAAGGTGCCGCCCGGCTTAGGGTTAGCTCTGTGGCCTTGTCGCAGGTGAGAGGTGAGACACACAGCTGTATGAACTATGACATAAGCTCCAATAAGCGAACCACAGACCAGAGGAGTCAATCACTCCTCACTCACTCATTGAGATCTCTTGTAGAAAATGGACTTGGGGTAAGCTTAGACGAATCAGGGCAAAGGTAGAAGAAGCTAGAAATGAGATTGGGATAGTAAGCTGGGGTCAAGCTATAGGGCAGCCTTGGATGTCAGTGAAGACTTTGGATTTCATTTGTACTCACGACAGGAGGGGCATGAGGGAACCCTTGTCCTCAGTGGCCCGGACTTAAAAGAAATGATAGTATTGGTCAGCCTCCCAAGGTGTGTCACTAATATCCAACATGCAGCCAGGACTTGGTGATGGAGGGTCAATTAGTCATAAAAATAGAGCAGACAGGACAAAGCCAAATGCATTAACATTTTTTTTAATAAAAATAAATTATAAAAAGCAAAGACACTTTCAAAACAGTATCAAGTTGAACACCTATGTGCACATTGTATCTATCTGCCAGATACAATGGTTGGGAGCTGCCCAAATATTATTATTAACCCTCATTATAAATCTGCAAAGGGTATGACTTACTTTTCCTGTTTTACAGATAAGGAAATTGAGGCGGCGGGTAACATACACAAGCTCACACTGCAAACTCAGAGCAAGTATTTGAACCCCCTCCATCTGACTTTAAAGTCCTTCCTTTCTCCTCCCTTCAAAAAGTTGTGTCTGTTTTCATCCCAGACAAGTGCCCATCGCCCCAGCCCAGTATGACAAGGCAAGGAAACACAAAACCCACAGAGCACAGCTCTCAGTCACTATGTGCAGAGTGAATAAATGACTACTCCCCCTGAACTATCATGCCCAGGACCTCCAGCCAGCTCCTCTCTCACCCAGTCCTCAGATGACAGCTAAGGACCTCCCCAACTTGTGACCACTTTGAAAAGTCTCCTGGGACACGACAACAGGAGAACCTACTAACAAAAATTAATGCAACTGGAACCCCCATTTGATTAAAATGACTGAAGGGACTGACAGTTAAAAACTCCTCTGGGCCTTGCGGGTTCCCCCTAGGGGCAGTTCTTTCCTAGCGGGACGTCTGTCTCGGGTTGCTGGGCTGAGGCCCGCTCGCCGTGCGCCCGCGCGGGAACAGCCGCCGCCGCCCGGGAGAGGCGTCCTGGGGAGGGCGCGCCCCGCGCCGCGGCCCTGCTCTGATGACGTGCCGATGACGAAGACAGAAATGGCTCCTGGGAAACGTAGTCCCCTATCCTGGGAAAGGGGCGCTCTTCTGGGGCATCTCTGGTGCAGGCAGGGGAAGGGCTCCCTCCCCAAAGGTGCCAAGATTCCAAGGGGACCCCCCGAGGCGGACCCCCAAAATTACAGCGACTGCCGGGCTTTGGAAGGGGCGAGCCGTTACCTTTCTGCTGAGGAACTCCCTGACCAGGGAGGCGGCCACCTCCTCCACGTAGAGGTTGTCCATGCCGCCAACTCTGCCGCGAGGCCACGCTGTGACGCAGCCCCAGGCCCCGCGGTCGGTTGGCCCAGTATGGCCGCGTTGCCGTGGCGACGGCGCTCTGCCGCGGGAGCTCCGCCCCTTCCCGGGAGCTGCGCCGCGGCGGGAGCGGGGCGGAGCCAGCTTCAGACTCCTCCCAGCGGGAGGCGGCGTCGAGGGGCCGGCGTTGCGCAGGGTCTGGTCATTTGGGCGGTCTGGGACTAGTCACTGCTCCAATCCAGGTCTCCGTTTCCCTAGACATAAAATGGGAAGAATGCTCCTGTTTGGGGAGGACTAAACTCACAGTGAAGTGGCCCCTGCGGGTCCACCCCTAACACCACCACAGCCCCTCTGGGCTCACCAAGGCCGTCTGACCTTGGCTGGTCTGGACTTCGTGGGCAGGGAAGCCCAGGACGGCTTCCTGAGTGCTGAAATTCAAGGACGAGTGCCCCTGGTGCCTGCTTTCCCATAATGAGACTGCCGTTTATTGAGCACCGAGAGCATTATCACATCTTTAATCCTTACAACTTCCTGGCAAGGCGGTTGCTATTGGCCCCATCCTTTAAAACAAGACCCTGAGATTCAGAAAGGCTAAGATGTTGCTGAAGACCGCACAGCCCGGAACTGGGCACGCTGGGGTTCTAGCCAGGCCCAGTCTTTGCCCAGTGCCACTTTTCCCAAACTCAGTCGCCTGGGTGCTGCCTTCACAATATGCCACATCACTTAGTTTTCTAAGGCTGCCATACAAAGTACCACAGACTGGGGGGCTTAAACAATAAATTTATTGTCTCAGAGGCTAGAAGTCCAAGATCAAGGTGTCAGCAGGGTTGTTTCTTCTTAGACCTTTCTCCCTAGCTTATAGATAGCCACCTTCTCCCTGTGTCTTCACAAGGCCTTCCCTCTGTGTCTGTCTGTGTCCTAGTCTCCTCTTCTTATAAGGCTACCAGTCACATTGGGTTAGGGCCCACCCTAATGACCTCGTTTTAACTTTATTATCTTTTCAAAGAACCTTTCTCCAATACAGTCACATTCTGAAGCACCAGGCATTAGGAATGCAACATAGGAATTTAGGGGGACACAATTCAGCCCAAACACCTATACTATTACTTATGTACTATTTTTTTTTCAACAGACATACATGTTTTAAAATTTATTTTAAAAGGAAAGTATTCCCAATCAGTAACATCCATAAAATCTTGGGTTTGATATGCTTATTAAATCTCTAATACACATTAAAACAAACACAAACCTGAAAGGTATGCATTCATCTAAAATCACCAGTAGCAACCATCAGTAGCACAAATATCACAACCACCAGTATCAAGCACAAGTATCACAACCACCAGTATCTTACAACCACCAGTAGCACAGGTATCACATTTGGCTATTGTGCCACATCATACACTCTCCTTAGGACATGTGTGTAATGTGGCAGATTGCATCATAATCTCCAGGCATTTCCCTCTCTAATCCCTAGTGTTTCTTTGAGAAACCTCTTTTGGGCACTTAGTGCCGTGTGAGACGGTAAATAGGTGTAGAGTGAGGAGGACAGAGTTGCAGGAAACAGCATGCTCCCTGGTCCAGGGGCCCTCATGTGCCAGCTGTGTTGGATGATATGTAATAATGAAAGAATAACTCAAGACAGATTTATGCTTGGTAAGAGATTGTGTATCACAGATAGTAGGTGTTATGGAATAAGTCAGAGGAAAGAAATATGCCCCTCTGTGGAAGCAGATCAGGGTAAAATGGAGCAAAGAGAAAAAATTCATCCATTCATCTATTCATTTATTCATTAATAAATATTTATTGAGCCCTTACTACGTGCCAGATGAACAGGCACTGTGGATTTAACACCGTAAAATATATGCCTTCTTAGAGAAAGAAGAGTGGGGAAAGATGGGGAGATGGGGAGAGATAGAAAACAAATAAGGAAAACACACTGAGGGTAGCAAATGATTTTTTAAAAGTCAGATTTAAAGAGAAAAAAAGCTCAGGAGTATAGGATGACTTTTGATGGGGAGCAGAAATTACAATTTTTTTAAAGATGATCAGGTAAGACCACTTAGATAGTATTAATAGTATTTCAGCAAAAACCTGAAGGAAGAGAGGATGTGAGCTATGCAGAGACTTGGAGGAAGAGCACTCCAAGTTTCCAGGCAGAGGAAACAGCAAGTGCAAAGGCCCTGAGAGGACATCTAACCTGAGGGCTTGCAAAATAGGCAGGCAGCCTGAGTGAGTGTGGGCGTGTGTGCAAGTGCGCCCTGCGATGGGACTGCGTCCGGAGCTGGTGGGAGAGGCTCCAGCCACCTGTGACCCTGAATTAGAAAAATCGGATAAATAACTATCTTATTTGTTTTTATGAATCTTTCTTAAATGTATATATAGCTCACATTTTTTTCAGTATCTAATGTTAAAAGTGTTTTGGTCTTTATTTCGAAGTTTTGTGATGTTTCTGTAACCAGAAATAAACTATAGGAATTTAATTCTTGTTTATATCAATTAGCCTAATGGTAACATTGGTTTTATTATATAATACATCGTTTCTCTTAAAGTCACAGCTTTTTCCAAGAACCTGTTGACGATGCTAAGCGAGGACAGGTATGGAAACAGGGAGACTAGTTAGGAGACAATTGCAACAATTCGTGGTCTCAGTAAAGTTTAGTCTAGATATATTGTGTGTGTGAATTGTGTGTGTGAGTGTGGCGTTTTCCTGGATCTGAAATTTTTTTATCGCATTGGAACAGAAGAGTTAAGCAACAAAAGTGCTGGAATGCATTCTTTTTTCTAGACACATAGCTGGCTCCTGGGAATACAATAACCTGCAGATAACCTTTAGATGTCAAGTAAAAGAGGCAATCTGGTCAGGAAAGGGCAAAGAATGTCCTGCCAGAAATCTGGGGAGAGACTAGATTACATCATATGCCCCATTCTTTTCCACAGGTCCTCTTCAAGTTATCCTGATTTCTACATCATGTTCCTGTGAACTGGAACATTCCCACAGAGCATTGTAAGGGAGCCCTGCTCTCCTGCCTGGATGTGAATGGTGGTTGAAGTCCTTATTAAAGGACTTCTTGTAAAAAAAAAAAAGAAAAAAAAAAAAACCAAACATGCTGGAGATGCAAATAACAATGTCATCAAAAAAGAACCCAATCATTATACTAAGTCATTAAATATGAAATGTCCAATTTTGAATCAAAAGTTATATCTCAAACAAGAAGTAGTGCAATTAATCAAAGTATGTGCCTAAACAATCAACACAGTTTTGCCGTCTTAATGGTAGCTTGCTTATGCCAGCAGTGAAGAAGCCTAGAGAGCTAGTGGCAATGAAATCACAAGAGGCATCTTCCACAGCTTGTTGAGAATTGACCGTTTTTCCTTGCAAGAATTGGTCCAAAGCCTGGAAGAAGTGGTAGTCAATTGGTGCAAGGTCTGGTGAATACGGTGGATGACAGAGCGTTTCCAAGTCTAGCCTCTTGTAGTTTGAGCAGCGTCGTTTTTTGCGACATGTGGTCTTGCAAGAGGATTGCCCTGTCTCTGTTGACCAATCTCTGCTGCTTAATCACAAGCATCATCATCATTTCATCTCATTAGTTGCAGCAGACATTTGCTGTAATCAACTGACCAGGTTTCATGAAGCTGTAGTGGATAAATACCAGCACTGGACCACCAATCAGACACCGTTAGCTTTTTTTGATGAATATTCAGTTTTGGAATGTGTTTCGGCACTTCATCCTTACCCAACCATGTGCTGAATGCTTGCAATTGTTGAAAATAATCCATTTTTCATCACACATAACAGTATGGTATAAAAATGGTTCGCCTTTATGTCTTGACAGCAAAGAAAGGCAAGATTCGAGATGATTTCTCTTCTGATGCTCATTTAATTCATGCAGAACCCATCTATCCATCTTCTTTACCTTGCTGATTTGTCTCAAATGGTCCAATAATGTTGGAATAGTAACATCAAATCTTGTTGCTAACTCACACGTAGGTTGAGATGGATTCACTTCCACTACAGCTTTCAGCTCATCATTATCCACCTTGTTTTCACCCATATGGCTCATTTTCAAGATTAAAATCTCCAGAATGGAATTTCTCAAACCATCAATGTACTGTGAGTTCATTAGCCACATCCTTCCCAAACACTTCGTTGATATGTTGCGCTGTCTGTGATGCATTAGTTCCACAAATGGAACTTGTATTCAAAAATAACACAAATTTTTGACTTATCCATGGTTTCACAAAAATTGCTCTACAAAAAATTTGAAAGATAATCACAAGCCAAAAAGTGCATTTGAAAGAATGAAGATGTACCTTTACAATAAAAAAAAAAAAAAAACAACACAAGAAGTGTCAAAGAAAAATGTCAGAGATATCAACTATCAAACTTAGCACTTAAGGAAATTGGACATTCCATCCTTAACAACCTAATAAATATCTACAATCATTTAAAAATAAATGCTTTTCCAAGTTTCATAAGACAGGGATAAACCCATGGAGTCTGCTAAATAAATAAGAACTGTAAAGCATACTTGCCCAGTACTCCGCAAATACCATTTCTCCATGTCACGCATTAACCTAAAACCAGATTTAGCCAAGATGACTGTGAGCCTCACTAGTGATTGGCAGTCATTTCATTTGCCTTCTCAGAATGCAGTGGACTGCACAGTGAATTTTAGCGATGGGATTGTGAGTGACAAAGTTAACTCGTAAAAGATTACGGACAGCACCGTATATTTCTGTAAACTTAAAAACCATTTAAACCAAGAAATCATAGTTTACAGAAAAATGTAGTTTTGGTAAAGCTTTATAAAAATAAAAGTAAGGGAATAAAGATGACATGATTCAGGACAGCAGTTACCTGGGAAGGGGGAGGCTGGAGACAGGGCAGGGGAGAACCACATATGGAAGTATATGTAATTGTCAATGTTCTGAGGGTCATTAGGTTATTTGTATCATAAGTGTTTGTTATATCATTTCTACTGATTCATCAGTTAATAAAAGATGGCCTTGCAGGGACCAGTGATGGCAGGTTGTCATTAATCAAGAT